CCACTTTTTTCCCACACTTTGAACCATGCGGCTTATAATGAGATGCAGCTTTACTGAAGATTTTCCTTCACCTGCAGGGGGCGCTTTAGCAGAAAGTGAAACAGATGGAAGTCAGAAGTGGAAATTGAAGAAAGTGCTCATTTTAATTTAGCACATGCAAGCAGCCGGCACAATGAAGAATCTTTTTTCAAATCCATTCCCCCTCATCATGGAAACTACACGTATGAGTTCATATGATGCCGCATTTAAGTTGAAGGCCATCGATCTGGCAGTAAAGGAGGGAAACAGTGCTGCTGCACGTAAGCTTGGCATGAACGAATCCATGGTTCGACGCTGGAGACGGCAGCGGGAAGAACTCATTCAAGCCAGCTTCACCCGGGGATGATGACAGCAGCACGGACAGCGACACTGACATCGCCACAGAAAAGGTATGTGACGAAGCTCTTCTGAGGCTGTTCAACTCCCGACACTGAAGAAGAGGACTTTAATGGCTTTAGTGCGCAAGAGGAAGATGAGAGCGAATGACTTTTTCTGGTAGGCAAGTGTTTTATTTACTAACCAGGCATGTTTTGTGTGCAGTTTTTATTTTCTAATCATCCAGGGCTTATTAATGCTGTGTCAGCGCTGTTCTTTTCTTCTAAACATGCATGCAAATTACCGGTAATAACGTGTCAGTTCTGTTTTTATTTTATAACTATCCAGAAATATCAGTGCTGTTTTCTTTTCTAAACTTGCAGGCACATTCACCCGTGTTTAAAATTCATTTTGTTGAATTAAAACAACAACAAAAAACCTCTGTGTAGCGTCTTTGTGTCTAACTATCTTATGTCATGGCCATACATGCGCTGTGCGCCAGAGACCTGCATGTGGCTGCTGCGCCGCGGCTTGTATTTGAGTGTGGTGTGTGTGTGTGTGTGTAGAAAACCTTTTGTTTTTTTTTGGTGCGGCTTAAATTGAGGTGCGCTCTATAATCCAGAAATTACGCTACATGCAAACATTTTAAAGATAAACCCTCCAAAAGAAGCCTCAGTGATGTATCTGATTTCCCACGGTCATATTTTCTGACTCCTCAACACCAGCTGTGAACTCATAACTTATAACAAGCTTCTTGTTTATATGGAAGACCAAACATCAGGTTTACAGCAGGGGGCTGCTAGACGGGGGGAAAACCCCACCTTAAAACAAAAAAGTTTTACTCAGAATAACATAATCCAACAGTGTTACAGGAAACTCAAACAAGAATTCTAAATATTAAACATAATAATACAAAGATGAAAAAGAAAGGAAATTCTCTTCCATTTCATGGCTCTCACTGGTGAGAGTAACCATATCCATTTGTAGCTTTTGCAGATAAGTATGGCAACAAAAAAGGCATATATGCAATCAATCAGCAGCAATCAATCATAAAAATCGCCTGTTCTGTAGGGAAGGCAGAAAAAAGACTGTAAATATCTAAAAGTGTTACCTTAGATTTGCTAAGTGTGAAGGATCCAGTTACCGGCAAAGTTTTTATCAACACAGATGCATTTTCTATTTTGTTTGCAGAAGAAATTCGTCATCATTCATTTTCAGGCCCTGATTGATTAGTAATGCCTTTTACTGAAGCCTTGCAGAGCATGCCTGGAGCCGTGACAAGCCTGTACTGTAAATCTTCAAGCTGTGATTTATTCTCAGGTTTTGCATTGTACTGTGTATCTTGTGTGATGCACCACTCTGCCTCTCTCACTCTCTCTGTCTCTCTTTCTGTCTGTTTCACTGCAGCGTTCCCAGAGTACATTGGTTTTTCATCTTTGTCTTACAGTCCAGGTACAAGCACACGCTCATTCATGTGCCGAAGGAATAGGCAGACAAATTCAGTTTGCTGAAGGGAGGTGAGGGATAATCAGTTTGGGAGGGTTACTCAAGCAGTAATAAGGAGCTCGGGGCAAACATAGCATATCATTCTCAGCCGTTCGTTGCCTGAGCTTCAGATTCACTGTAGCTCTTGTCTATTGGCCTTAAGGCTTATAGATACTAGCTGTTGTCTCATCTGAAAGTACAGTAAAGGTGTTTTCTTTGCGGTCTTGCTCTCTTCTTGTCCTTGGCTGTCTCCTAACCAAACATCTACATGTTCTTTTCTGTTTCTTATGGAGAACAACACATTTAATGGAAATGTGGACTGCAAATGTTTGGTCTCGTTCACCTGATAGCTCGTGCTAAACTAAAGCGTGTCGAGACTTTTATAGTCGCATTTTATGTTCCCCCCTTATCTGGAAACTCAGTTCTAGCTTTGTCCACATGTCACATAGAGTGGATCAACATTGCTTGTGTGTGTGTGTGCGTGCGTGTGCTTGGGCTTATGTCTCAGTCTCATTCTAGCAGTACTCCTTTCATTACAATGTTTCTCTATAATGTTAAGAAATATGTTTGCTTCAGGCTGATGTTAAGTTGAGTGCTTCATTTTTCTTCTTTGACTGCGTTTGTTTTAAACATTCTCTTTGTGACACAGGAGGTCATGTGTCGACAGCCAACCATCCACACAGCGACTGCTCCACAGCTAATGTGTGGGAGGTCGGTTTCAGCTTTCAGACATATTCCATACAGCAGAAGGCCATCCTTGGTTCTTCAGGACAGAGCTGACGTTGTTTCCATGACCTTCACTTTGTTTGGTCTCATAATATTTGTGGATTACCACATGACCTCTGTTGTGGTTTGTTTTATTCATAGGTCTACGTTTGTTCTCCTACTTGTGTAGTCAGTTTCCTTCGTATTCTTAATGAAACCAAACCAAACTATAATAATGAAATTTTACATATAAACACATTGGTTTTAAGGTCTAATTTACAGTTGTTTTAATAAATGTGCTGTGGTGCCCAGAATGTCTGGTGAGTAATTTTCTGTGGAAAACAAGCACTGGCGCTCCTGTTTCAGGGGTTAAAATCTTACTCATTAGTATACATGTGTGTATATATATAATATTTACATGCACACACACACACACACACACGCACACACACACACTAGGAGTTTGCAGTTATCCTTTCAAAGAGTGTTGGGGAATATTTGGCAGACAGCTTTTGTTGTCCTAATTACACAGCAGTTTGGAGTGTGGAACTCTACACAGCGAGGAGAAGGAAGTGTTTATTTGTTGACTGCAGGATTGTTTCTGTTTATGCTTCTAAAAGTAATTTTAGCGTTCATTTTGAAGCGCCTGTTTACACACGTCTGTGTGGGTGTGTTAATTTAATCTCTGCTAAAGCAGTCCAGACACAAACCAACACAGACACACACACCTTATCTCTCCGGGTTGCATTGTCCTAAAGGGACACCCTGTCATCCTGCACTGACAGGGGTGTGTCTCAACTGTCACCTTTAGCGACAGTCCAGTTGCCTAGGTGATGCTGGTGGGATGATTACCTTACGCCTACCCTCAATGTCATCCCAACTCATCAACAACAACAGGGTGCTCACTTCCCCTGCCATCACACACACACACATATAGATTCAGGGCCTGACTTCCTGTGCCTTGACAGGCTGCCAGCTCAATCTCAAATAAACTTATTTCAAAGACAGCCGACATCAAAATAGAATAAATGCCATAAATAATTCAGCAGCACGAGCATGAATCCCATTTATAAATGAGGATTTCTCCACAAAACTTCACTTTCTGCAACTTTCAGGAATCTATTTGTGTGTGTGTGTGTGTGTGTGTGTGTGTGTGTGTGTGTGTGTGTGTGTGTGTGTGCGTGCGTGCACGTGTGTGTGGTGTATTTAGCTTCATACGTTTCTCTGTTTTTACAATTTCATATAAGGAAACCGAGGATGATCCGATATACTTTAAACTCATTCCCTCCTGCACCATTCAGTGGAAATGTGCACAACCTTGAAGGAAATGGATATTTTTGAAATGAGACTGAGCTATACATACGCTGTGGAGCGTTTATAAAATGCTTGGACAAACTTAGTGATTTGATTACCTCAAAGCAAAACCTTAATACTAAAGCGAGTAGAGTTCCAGCTGTGGGGGATGCCAGTGTCACCTTGGCTCACCCCAGGAGTAAAGGTAGTGAAACCCTGCTCACTGCCTTTAAGGTGGGTAATGAGGTTGAACTCAAGATTGTCAGAATGAATCTGTTTTGGTTGAAAAAGACGACAAATGGACCACCGTACAGAAAATACTCCACAGGTAAAGGTAAACCCTGCTTTAGTGACTACAAACTGAAACCCTGGTAGTAAAAATCCAACATCCTTTTGGCACCCTTCTGTCTAATCACAGCTGACTGCAGAAAGTTACAACACAACTCAGAAGAAATCTTATGTTTAAGCTGGGTGGTCGTGTTAAGAAACCTTTGGTTCTTTCTTCTAAAAGATGTGAGTTTACTTCACAAGGTTCAGTTGTTATAAGATGATGAGAGAGTGTAGATCAGAGTTATGGAATCAGCCTCTTCAGCTCTCCTCTCCGGTTCCCATCTGGACCCACAAAGACTCAAATCTCCATTGTACACTGCAGGATGCGTTGGACACCTGCGTGTTTTTACATTTCAGCTCTTTGATGCCCCCATCCCAAAGAAGCTGCATAAAGCTTCGCCTCCTCATAAGTAACTCGGTGAAGGTCCTTGTGTGATGTTGGGACTGGATGTGGTTTGTCTCTGCTGCTGTTGTCAGTGGAACAGAGCCAAGTGGACACAGTTCTGCAAACTGCTCAGCCAATGAGAGATTAATTTTGAGTTTACTTTTCTGATTTTCAGTGATGAGCTAAGTAGCTGATGTGTCGCATCAGCTCAGAAGAATTTACAAACAATTCCTCCAGTTCCTACAATGTTTTTACTAGAATTCCTATTTCTACACAAGCTCTAAGCCTCTTGCTCCTCCGAGAGACACATTTCAGTTTTATTAATTGTTTAAATAACCACTAATTCATCTTGAAACACATTGTCTGTCTGACTTTTATTTCTGTTTGATATCAGAGTCCATACTTTGAATAAAACATGTTTTTGTGTGTCTGTATTTGACTTTTATAGACATTCAAAAGAGTTGAGGTGGATATCTGGACGACCTGTTCCTCTACCAAACAGCAGCGGGAGAAACAGGGACAGCAAAATACAAAAGGTAAAGAAATCGTCTCTGGATTTGTTTGGATTTTTTAGTTCTGTGTTTATTTTGATCTGATGCTGTCAGTCTGCTTCATGACATTTATGCTAAATATTTAATAATTTCTCTTTTCATTCATTATATAACATATATGTTCATTGTTTTACAGTACTGTGAAAATATTTCTGTTTTGGATTTCTTCCTTCTAAATGGCGGATGACTGAAAGACAACCACAGTAAATTATATTTTATTGATTATGGGGGAAAGCTTCCAAACCAACTTGAGCCCTTTGAGTAAAATAAATTTATCTCTGCATTTAATTAGATATACCAACCTTATTAGCAACAACTGCAGTCAGTCATTCAGCTCATTGTAAGGTTTTCCACCATGAGCGGCCTGTTAAAAGGTGTGGTTTAAGTCTGATTTATGCTTCTCCGTCTGCGTCAGTGCGGAGACACGCAACGCCATTATCCGTCCTTGCGTAGGAATCCGGCAGGCACGCAGTACGTACGGAGTCGAGCCCACTTTTTTAAACATCCATCGAACGAAACGGATTTCGCAAGCTTGTGATTGGTCAGGACGCTGCCATTGCAAAGAGAGCCGAGGATAACTAGCGGCAGACACGGAGAAGCTTGAAGAATTCCTCGCGAAGAAACTCAAAAAATATGAACGTTTCATTCTCCCGTGACTGGAGGAGTGAAAAGATGCACCGCAAGCGTTTTATTTGAGGACGGAAATGACAGGAAACGTGGGTTTAGATGTGGGGAGCGCATGAAGTGGTGGGAGAATGAGAGACAAATATGTCCGTGTTAAAAGTCTTGTATACACAAAAACACAATATAAACACACTATCTTGGACCGATACATGACAGGATACCACAGAACAGCGCTACGCCCTCTGTGGTCCTGCCGGGCAATTGCTTTGCAACACTCTCCAGGAGACGGAGAAGTATGAGGGCAAAACGCTTCCATCAATCCGTGCGTGTCTGTCCCTTGCGGAGCTGACGGAGAAGCATAAACCAGGCTTTACTCATTCATTCAATACATTTGCAGTGTTCTCTAGTATAAATCAATGCCTTATGAGTCATTAAAAACAAAGCTATGATGCTCCTGTTCTCAGATGCAAAATTTGCTGGTGCAGTGGTGGCCTGAAAACAGCAGGATTACTCATTAATATTAATGATATGCACACATCATACTTCTGATTGGCTAACATAACGCATTCAGCCATGTTGCAAAGCCACTATCACCAAGACACTCTGCGCTCTCGCATCATTGCTGCAACAAAAAAAAAAACAGCTTTCCGGAGGGCGGGCACGAGTCAAGATGGCCGAGGCCATGAATGAAAACTCACAGTGTGATATATATATGAGAGGATATTCACATCCTAGCATTTCACCATCTATTTTCGGTCAGAAGCTAACACAGGGTGTAGGAGACTGTTTTTATGTTCAGCTTGCTTGTTAAACACAGAGTGACACTGTCACTAAAAAATTAGTTTTTCAGTCAGTGAACCGCCCTTTTCAGGGCAAAGGTCCAGAGTTTTCTGATAGAGAAGAGTAGGGATGCATCGAAAATTTGGCCGAAAATGATCCAAAAGTGCATTTTTGGTTTTGACCGAAACACCTAAAGCACTGGAGCAACTCAGCCGAAACAGTCCATCAGGGTTTTTAGTAATGCTGTCTCATTGCGATCACTGGAATGTTCATATCGTGTTTACCTCATGAAGCACACACACACTCTGTTGCCACGCAGCTGCAGCGTCACTTTCTTTCTCAGTGGACGAGTGAATATCTTCATCAGAGGGTGAATATTACTCTTCAGAACCAGATTCTGCCATTACCAGACAGAGTTATGTCAACTATGAACAGACCTGTCAGCATTGTAAGTTTCTCCTCTCTGTATAATAATATTCACCCTCTGTGTGCTCCTCTCGTCTCCTCTCCTCAGTCGGGAGCCTCCACCGACAAGGGGCAGTTTTCAAATTCTCTGAACTCTGAAAATTTCCGTAGAAACACACCAAAAGTTGTTGCTCAGATTAAAGTTTATTGTAAATTTGGCACTTACAGTGTTAATTTTACAGTCCTTCTAATGCTACGGTTCTAATTATTGACATAATTTCTTTCTGTGTTCGGTTGCAGCCAAGAAATTTCATTTTGGTGCATCCCTAGAATACAGTTCATGGTTCCACATATTAGTTCTCCTGGTCTCCAGATCATCTTACCACCACCACCGTGTTTGTCTACAAGTGTTATTATTTATATTTTTCTGGAATGGAGTGCCAGTTTTACACCTTTTGTGGAACATAGCACATTTTTCATCTTGCTCTGATCTTACGTTTTGTGGTGTTGGGAAAAAATGGATAATTTGACAGATATATCCATGACTTGATTGACTGGTTCAATAAGCACAGTGCTGTACCTTCTCAGTGGCATAAGGACAGAGTGTCCGCCCTGGGACAGGGAGATTGGGGTTCAAATCCTGGTCGGTCATACCAAAGACTGTAAAAATGGAACCCAATGCTTCCCTGCTTGACACTCAGCTTTAAGGAGTTGAATTGAGTGGTTAAACCATCCAATAGTTCCCGAGTGCAGCCACACCTGAAGCTCAGCGCTCCCTGCGGGGGATGGGTCGGATGCGGAGATGAATTTCACCAGTGTGTGTGATGACTAATGGGACTTTAACGTTCATTCAAAACTGAACCCAAAAACTAAGGAGTGGCAAAGTCCTCCAATGAGGGGAGAGAGACGTTATTTTCTTGACAGCTGCACAAACATGAGTATGTAGGACGTGACACGTGTTTCCTTCACGGACACGTTAAAATGCTGCAGTGTAGACATTCAAGCTAAATGATATCAGCACAGCAGTTCAAGGACAGTTAGACCTCAGACTCAGAGCAAACACAAGCCTCTGCTACTAATTCACTATATGTCACCTGAACAGCTGTCAGCAGGTAAAATGAAGATCAGAGTGCTGAAGGACGATTCGCTGACAGGTGAGATGTTTACAGCCACAAGATGAATGTCAAGTGTAAGATATCTGCAACATGTTTATAAGATATAGATTTGCACCTGGTTGGGTATGGATTTGTGGAAACATAAATTTGCAAACAGATTTCTTTTAATGTTCTCAAATAGTAAAAGTTACTTTGATTCAGAATGTTTCAAAAGCTCTGTCCTACGCCTGTTTATATTTGGACTTGACAGGAAGTCATTTAGACAAATGATCTGAATCTCAATGACTTTAAAAACATTTCCTATCCATGTGTCATCATCAGCCTGCCTGTTCCTTTTAGCTCCTCCTCAGCCACGGCCTTCACCTGCAGGTTCTAACGTTGGTTTTGTGATGACACGAAGAAGCAAAGTGAAGGAAATAACCAAGCGGTGTGAAACAGAACCTGCTGGATTAGTGAGTAGACTCACACACTCACGTAGAAAAACACAAATAGCTCTTATCTGTACCAGAGACCTGGGACGTAATTTTGGGGGGGGGACGGGTGGGACATGTCCCCCCCACTTTTTCAAAAGGCAGTTTTGGTCCCCTGCACTTTTTTCCGTCCAAAAACAATGTTACGCTCCATTAAATGGATTTGGTTGAGCACTAGGACCGAAACGGAAACCGGTTTACTATTAGACCCGCCCAAAAGCTAATCTATTGGCTCTGCTGATACTTGCTAACGTATTATTGGCTGTTGCTGCTGTCACTCAAGTTGGAAACAGTCAGAACGTGCTCACGTTGTTTTGCTAGTTTGGAGCCGCTAGGGAACACCGGTACTGAGTCACATCGTCAACTAGACGCTGTGTAATATCAGAGCTCAGCTCAGCTTCCATTACATAACATTTGAATAAGTGTTCATTTGTGAGTCTTTGGTAGTTAGGCACAGCCAGGAGGCAACATGTCAAGAAAACGAAAAGTGGATATAAGAGACTTCTTTCAAAGTCAAAACGTAAGTTGGAACATGTGACAGACCTGCATTAAGCTCAGACTCACCTCCTCCTTCAAACACTTACTCAAAACTAACTTTTACAAACTCATCTCCTCCACATAACTGACTCCTCAGACACAATTTATTCGTATTATTATAATTATTGTTTTATTATTACTATTATCATCATAATTATTATTACTAGTAGTAGTAGAAGTGTAACTTCAAAACTTTTATCATTTAACTTTATTGTAAACTTATCTATTGCAATGTATATGTTCACATTAAAAAGCTCTGAAAAATGAACAGTATCATCATCGTCAACAGATTTTTTTAAGCTTAATGTCAAAGATGTACACTTTTCATTAGATTTATCTTATTTTTTCCATTTATTTTTTGTGTGTTGAAATGCAACAACTGTTTAAACACTTTTAAGGGAAAAAACATATTTAATATGTTTTTATACACTCAAATGTTAGGGTGATGATCATGTGTAAAACATTAGTTCAGCATGTCCTCTAACACAGCAAATGAACAAACGGCCAGATCTCAGGAGGACCGTTTATGTATAAATCATTTTTATACTTTTGACTAGGCCTGGGAAAGTAACAAATTTTGCTGGACGATATTTTGTCCAACAAATTGTTGATGATAAACGATATTGTCAACATTATCTAGACCAAAATAACCACTAATATAATGTTAATATATCATAATAATGCAAGTACACCCTTTAAAATGCAACAAATAAACCTTCATTTAACATTGAAATGTCCAGAACCAGAACTTCTAAATGAATAAAAATAACAAACAAAAATTGAATAAAAAAGGAATCTCACTCCCTGTTAGAAAATGTTGCACCAAAAACAATAAAAAAGACCCAAAACAATAAATACAATGGCCTATCCATTGTCAACAGCCAAAACTGCACTTCAATAATGATAATAAATAAAAATAATAATAGAGTTGTACATTTTTTAACTTTGATATATATATATATATATATATATATATATATATATATATATATATATATATATATATATATATATATATGAGGATGGAAAAATTATTGAGATGGGCACGTGACGTGTCAAGGGGTATTTACATAACACCCCCCACCCCAAATCCGCACAAGCCTGCTGTGTCCCCCCCACTTCTGAAATCAAAATTTCGTCCCTGCCAGAGACGGGTGTTATTTAAGGTACCCAAGGAGGCAAAGCAGCATTTTAGATAATCAGAGGCCACAGACCATCCTGTCATTTAGCCATTTCTTTATGGACCCAGCTTGGAAAAAAGGTTTATGCAAATTGACCCTAATCTGATTGCTGATTGCAGCAAACACACAAACATTTACATTTGGTTAAAAAAGCCAGGTGTTAATTAACTTGAGCTGCATTCAGAATCAAAATCCTGAATTACATTTGCTCTCCTGCTCTTCCTCATTCTCTCTATTTCAATCTCACTCTCTCCCTCCATTTGTTTATCTGCTGATTTGAGTTGAGCCATACTGTTCCCAGTTCTGCTGTGTTTCCTGATTTATTTCTGTTCTTTGTTTCTACTTTGCATCGACTGTTGCCTCTCCGTGTCATGAAATGACCGGTAGTTCAGAACTTCTTTCTAATCTTTCTCTGAGTCAGGCCTTATTTACTTTCTCCTCTTTCTTCTCACATCTTTTATACAAGTAAAGCTGTCTTCCATTTTACAACCCTTCTGCCATGTTTACCTGTTTTTCTTCACTCTGTGGGTTGCTGTGCCTTAACTGTCCTATCTGATGATGTATCTAGGGTTGGGTTTATGCTGATGACTGTTTAGTGGGATCCGTTCGTCAATATCTGGGACCCCTGAGGGCACTATTGTTTATTTTTTCTTGTCATTCTGCAACTCAAAAGCAGGGATCCCAGCCTGCAAATGTATGTGTGAATGGGGGGGGGTCTGAGTGTGTCGGAGCTGAGTAATGTATACTCGATGACTGGTCATTTTATTATGAATCCAGCAGACTTCAGCATTGGCTAGCCAGTGTTTCCAAGACACTGCAAGACAGAAAACGCAAATAATGGATGTAAGAGTGATGCATTTAAATCAGATATGGTATTTTGTTTGAACGTGCGTTTGATGATGATGACACTGAACTGTCTATTGAAAAGCCTGGCGCCTCCAGTTTTCTATAGTGATGAAGCTAATGTCAGCACTTACAGTCATCTATGCAAGCCCATAAGCTAAGTGCAGGAACAACTACACACAATGCAGCCACACACAGACCTATTAGACCGTCCTTGTACCGAACAGCACGGTACAAGGAACGATGTCAGAAGCTACACTTAAACATGCAAACGAGGACAAACTCACAATCACATACAGGGTTTGGATTGGTTCTAGTTGAAACGTAGACATAATTGTTACTTACATACAAACATGCATGCTGCACAATGTCTTCAAACTCTTATAAAACAAAGAAGCACCTCATCACTTTCTACATTGCATGCCGCTGGCTGCCTGATAGGGATGCCTTGTCTCAGGGGAGTGGCTGTAATTTATCTCCAGACCTGAGCGGGGAAATGAGGCTGTGTTTTATGGGATTCTATCAAAGTACTATGTCAGAGCTGTCGATGTGCGTGCACATGCACTCAAACACACCAGCTGATACACTGACACTACGGATGCATTAATTATTACTTGTGCAGGAGATGCTATTTACAGAAATCATAAAGAACTTAAAGGGGAAATGAAAATATTTGTTTCAGTCTGATTGTAGAGATTTTCCCAGTATAGTTACAGTAATGTTCATGGCCCTTGAATACAAATTTTAAGTCATTATCCATCCATCCATCCATCCATCCATCCATTCTCCTCCACTTATCCTGGGTTGGGTTGTGGGGGCAACAGCCTAAGCAGGCCCAGACTTCCCTCTCTCCAGCCACCTGGTCCAGCTCCTATGAAGAAATTCCAAGGCACTTCCTAGCCAGCTGAGAGGTGTCCTAGATTTCCTCCCGGTTGGACGTGCCTGGAAAACCTCACCAGGCAGGCTTCCAGGAGGCACCCTGACCAGATGCCCGAGCCACCTCAACTGGCTCCTCTTGTTGTAGAGGAGCAGCGGATGTACTCTGAGCCCCTCCTGAATGACTGAGCTTCTCACCCAAGCCCCCACAATGCGGGTCTGAAATTGAGGCCAATGCGGAAGTGAAATAAATTGCAGTTCCACCCTCATCCGCTGGGGGCTGATGTCAGAAGCGAGCAAATCCTCATTGACTCCCATGTTAAAAATACCAATTTCACAGCAGAAATAAACATGTTTACAGCCTGGTACCAAAACGTGTTTTTGGTTTAAATGATCTAGTTTACACTCATGACAACTCTGAGGGGGGTGAATTTTTTTGTCACTCTTCTGTTTAAGTGTATTAAATGCCTAAAATTTTGTATACTTGATGAGCATCAGACCCACGTAACCACAGAGCTAGCTCCGTGGAAAGGCCTCAGTCTGAGCCTCGGTCTCGCCTGAAAACTGTTCCGTGATTTTTAGTCTCTGAACGTAGACCAGTAGTTGTAGCGTTTGTGTATTCTTTTTTGGATATTATTTGTGCAATTGTTGGACAACATGACTTGCTGTGGTATTAATTGCATTAATGGAGCATCCAAGGAGTCTCCACTTCATTTTTTTCGGTAAGTAAAATTATATTTATGTATTTTAGGTCACTGCCGCTTTTGCTCTAGCTGAGCGTATCAAAGTAGCTAGCTAACTACCATTTTAACATGTACTGTTTAACCATGAAATTTCGATGTAGTCCGGTAAAATAATTAATTGGGTATATGTCGATGGGTGTAAAACCCAGTGCATTTAACATAAAAATGGGTTGACATGTTGGTGGAGCTCTCGGAGGGAGACTTCTGTGTTCCATTCTTCCACCCGGTTCTCCCCAGTGGTCAGCCCGGTGCATCTCTGACCGCTTCGGCGCCTGTCTGCTGCGTGGGCTGACCGCTTGTGGAGCTCTCGGACTCGGAGACCTGACCACAGAAATACTGCAGCTCGGTGAGTTGGTTGATAGTGCTTGATGTTAGTCTCCAGAAGTCTGTATACCATCAGATAAACTCGCTCGTTTTTTATATTTTTTGCATATTTGTAAAATATTGGTGGTTGGGTGCGACTAAATAACTAATTTGTCCACAAAGAGCCGCGGCCGGGTGCCTCGTTATCATGGGAACTAGTGCAGTTTAATAAAATGGAAATTAGTTAATAAAATTCATTATTAAAATGTTCATATCCTATCCAATAAGGCGATGGACTCAAGTGTTTTGTTTTATATATATTTTTTATAAAGTATGCATTTTGTATTACTCTTTATCCTAATTGCCATGATAAGTTATTAAGTATTTTAAACCCATATGCTTAAATAGTTCTTTGTATGAAGTTTTCCTCTAGGTCATCCAGAGAGGCTTGACCTTTGGGTAAGCAACCAAAGAAGAGAGTGCTGGACTCCCAATTCAC